CTCCTATTCCATAGTGGAATAAGAGCAGCTCTTCCTTATGAAGAGCTTGGCCCAGTGCGATATCGCATGTGGCCTCACGCAAGCTACGCCTGCGTACCCCAGAAGCTCAGCCGCTGGCCAGCCGCGCTGCCGCCAATACGGCAACCATCTGGCAGCACGACACGCATGCCGTGGCCACGTACATGGCGTGGCCACCTATTTGGCCTGCCAAGGCCCTGAATCGCGCGGTCGTACGGCCGCGCGCCACCTTCTAGGTAGAGTAAGTCTAGCTTCAACATCCCCATGACCGAGTGCCCTTGTGGCCCTGTCGGGAACCGCAGACGACAGGTCGTACCGCCGACTCCCGCTGTTTCAATCGGACGTCAACGACGTCAGGTTCATAAAAAGTCTAAGTCTCTCAGTCATAGCGTTGGTCTGAATAAATTTTGGCAACGTCAACCTCATCAAGTCTCCCAATCCAACAAAAAAAGAGTCGGACAGTGTCTGTCCTTAAAGAAACTCGGGCAGGAACCCTCTTAGGGGTTTCTGTCCCAACACCGCGTCCCTAGGTATCTAGAAGTCGTGGGTTACATCAAAGTGAGACACCCACAGCCCCATCGGAGATAGGGCCTATTACCTGAGCGCTTAGAGAGGTAGCAGGTCCCCTCCTTCCACCAGGGCCACGGGCGCTCGACAGACTATACCACCGCTCTTCCTTATTAGGAAGAGTGTGATTCGTCTAAATTCCAGGTATGGGGTTGCAGTGAGTGTCGCGCTAGTTGTCTATTCATATAAGTTGAAAAGACCACGGCCGCAGCTCATTAGTAAGTAGGGCTCTACTTAGTCCGGTATCCACGACCACTGTCCGGTCAGGTCACCTTCGTTTGTAATAGACTGTAAGGTGATGGTCATTAGTGGATAAGGTAGGACCGTGGGAGTAGAGGTGCGCTGGGGGAAAACTACGAAAGTGGTAGGTTGGAAGGGAAGTTCCATAGGAATACTGCATGGCCAAGTGCCGAAGGCACCCCTCACATGTCTAGAAATCCAACCTCTACAACAACCTGGGCTTTAAATAATAAAAAATAAAAAATAAAAAAGCAGGAAAAAAACAAAATCGGAAAATCCCTTATTTCAAGTTATTTGAGATTATTATACTATTACAGTATTTTAATTTCTTATTCTTATTCTTTTTTATTTGTTATTTAAATTTTAAAGTTTTTTTAACTTATTTTCCTTATCCTAAAATTCTTGGAATTGCGATCCTCATCTGGCCGTGGTACCTCTGAACTGCTATAAGCAGGATAGAGCGAGATAAGATTCAGCTAGTGAGAGTGGCTGTACGTGGAAAGAGAGGAGATCTTGGCGTTGCGACCTACACGATCAGTCAAGATCCTACAGGACTGGAGAAAGTGTGGAGAGGAGAGATAGACGTTGAGGGAAATAAGCTGGAGAAACAGAAGGGGGAGGCTATGGCATGCTGGAAAGGCCTAAAGGATCATATGGAGGAGTCGGTGAAACATATCGCCCACTGTGTCCCGATGTCGGAAGAAGGGGCCAGCATCGCTGTAATCCTGGACTACATAGATGTGCAAGGGAAGTTGAAGGTGAATGTGGAAGGGGGGCGCGTACAAGAGATGATGAGGGATGAGAAACTGCAAATGGTGGGGCCTGAGGCTACGAACAGAGTAGAGTGGAGGTTTAAGCGGGACGGGACGTCTGCGGCCCTCCCACCCACTATCTCGTACCATGAGGTCGAGTCCTCAACTGGGACCACAGAGCGTGCTCAGCAAGATCTGGACCGGGATTCAGAGGCTGAGAGCAAGGAGAGTGAGGGACGGACCTGGACCTGGAACAGACCACCTGGTAGGGGCGGATCAGAGCACATGGAGGACGGTTCAGAGGTGGAGCCAAGGCGGCTAGGCTGTGCGTGAGGCGTTTACACGCGCAAAGGCACGCAGCAGGGCACGAGCGTAGCGGTGGGCAAGGTTCAGCGGGTCAACGAGTCAGCACGGGAGTGTGAGCCCTCTTGCAGGAACGAGTGCTACCTGCTGCTCGCGTCATCGGTTCTCCCTTGTCCACCAGCATCCATGACCGCCATCTTTGCTGCCATCGCTAACACCATCATGTTCGTCAGTCGGGCACGTTCTAGGAGGGTGTGACCTTCTCTGAATTCGTGCACGAAGAGCTCAATTAGTTGCCAGTAAGCTCTCGTGCGTAGGCATGCATCAAACTTATTGTTGACATCATCAGTGCTCAGGTCTCTACCGCTCCACTGTCTTGTATAATCCGCCATTGCTCCTTGTGTGTGATCAGGGCTACTTTCACTATCGTTCCTCGCACGCGATGGGAGCAACTTCCGTCCTCAGGTGCGAACTGGAAGGACGAAAAAGCCGCAGGAAACCGGCAATGATTGACACTTGTACATACGCTCTGGCATCCACTGTGTGCACCCACTAGGGTGAACGCTGTGTCCTGTTCTTCATTGAACATGCCTGCAAGCAAGATCCTTGCGATCGCCTTCAGAGCCCCTGCTCACGTAGTTACCTTCGACATCACCATCATATTCGTTTGTGGTTAGAAGAAGCGAGCTAAGTGGGGCTTGAGTCAGGGGGTATGAACTGAAGAGGGAGAGTGATAGGAGGAGACCAATGGGTCAGCTGTGAAGACGTGCGCTATTTGGTTGTTGACGTCACTAAAGTTTTTCTTTGTCCGTGACCTCTTACCATCAACGCTGCCTGCTGTGCAGCCTCGTGTCGCCGCTATCTCGCCTTCTTCCCAACCGTCATTCAGTGAGCTAGTCAGCCGCCAGCATCTAAGAGTTGATGTGTTTTGTCGCTAGCATCATCATGAAGGGGGGCGAAAATACAAAGTACACAAGATGAGTTTAAAGCCTTCCAGATCAGCTGATCGGCAATCAGTGAGAATTTCAGCTTCTGCGAGATACCCTCTGTGTACTTCATTCGCTGTGTGGCATTTCTCAATAGCATCTAGATCGCATTTCAGTCCTGGTCAACGGGGGTAAGGCTAGTGAAACCAGATGGAAGACAAACTGACTACACGACTCAAGTGCTCGGCATTCAGTGTATTCCTGAGACTCTTCCTTTTTGTTGTGCGACGTGCTGCCCTTTCTCGGCATGCGGTTAACGGAGGGCCGAAAATTCACTGTTTTCACCAACAGTTTCGGTGCGAAATTCAGCGAAAATTTCAAAAACAAACTAAAAAACACTCTCCGCGTTAAAATGAAGCGTTCAACAAATCCAACGAAATGCCAACTTTTTCATTAATGATCCAAACATGTCAAAACTGGACACATGACGTACCCTAAAGCACCTACATATCACACAAAATAAAAAACAAGAAAAAAAGCAAAAAATCAGGGCAATATGACAGTTTCAGTGCAAAAGTCAGCGAAAAGAGCACCCCTGGTCAACCACGTCCCTTTCTCTGGTTAATGAGAGCAAGGTTGGTGTCATATAGCAAAGGGGTTTGGTGAGGCGATCTTACTGGATATATCGACCTGCTCGGACAGGCCTGTTTCCTTCTTTACTGTTGCATACCGTATAGGTGCAGACCAGAACAAGAACCGACCTTTCAATACAAAGTATAAGATC